AATGATTCATATCGTCAAGTGTACCCATTCCAAATTTCATTCCAATCAAATGATCCGCAGCTGCCAATATATCGCGTGGTAACAAAAATGTATTCGATTGAGAGGCGGGAGGTTACCGGCTTTCTTCGAAGTTAGGTTAGGGTTTGGGGAAAGGGTTTCACCCAGAGATTCTACCTCAACTGAAAGCGAATACGGATCGGTATCAAGATGCGCGGATCAGGTTTCTTTAGTGGGAATGGCATATTCAAAAACCATATAATGAGAAAGGGCATACCTATCTCCTTACTTATTCGTCTTTCACTTCTTCCTGTGAGTAAGATCCTATGAGATACCTCCTTCTATAAGAGGATAGGCGAAATGCAAGACTCCCGGGATATGGGATAAAGGCTACTCTTTTAAGGGAAATTGAAAGAAACTGTTAAAGATAGAGTTCATTGTAATTGTAACTTCATTTTCCCTTCTTTAGCAAAGGTAAGAAAGCGATGACTAGTAGATCCGGGGTACCTAGAAAGCGAAAAAATGTTCCCATGGTCATGATTGTTGACTAAACCGCCCTTTCTCTGATTCCTCTTGCCGACTCTGAACTAACTCATGCTTGAATGTGAACAAGCGATAGTACAGAAAGCAGCATTATAATGATTTGATTACCTTCTTCCCTTCCTTATAGTAGGAATTCTCTCTCGAACCCTGGGCAAGGAACCCGATAAAAGCTTTAGTTAAAAGCTTTCAGCGTCTTCTTGCTCTTCTTTCATGAGAAGTTGTGATCAGCTTAGCAATAAAGAGCTCTTCTTTAGCGAAAGTCGGATTCGGATTCTGCTTGAGCGGCCTTCTCTCTCTAAAGGGAGTTAGGCCAAAAGTAGTTCGGTAAGTCTTGGGTCATAATCTAGTATGACCGAAGCATTAGCCCTCTCTCTATCCTTGGATAAAAACATAGACTGGACCTAGTACGGTGAGGTAACTTAGGATGATTAAACCGTACCTTCTTACTTTCGGACTTTCTTGCTGGCTTGACTTCTTGACTTAGAGCTTTCACGTGGCAATCGAGCTGCCATTGATGGAGAAAATCCTGCTATAAAAAGGGAGTTGGCAGAGGTAGAATCGGCATCTGTCTCGCCTGCTGGAAAGCTTGACTTGGCTATTGAAATAAGCAGCAGATTTATCAAATCAACTTAATTAAGGAGAATCCGTTCTTGGAAGAATTTCTACTATAAAGGAGTTCTCATACCCAGTGAAATGATTAAGGAATTTTCCCGCCTCAAGGGAATGCTTGAAATAAGCTTCTGTCGTTAGAACGAGAATAGCTCAAGTGGAATCTCTTTCTTTTTGGAGGGTTCCGGAATTGATAGATCTAGAGGAAGATTAATGTGCAACAGTCTCTTTCCTCCCTCTTCTCTTTCTGCCTTTATGTTGGGAAAGCGAGGGTCAAAGCCAATCATACTCCAACAGGGAAAGCAAAGCTAGTCCCTTCAGAAATCAGTCTCGTTTAGTTTGTCGTAGGATGACGGGTTACCGGTCATAAAGAAACGAGTCCCTTTCGTACTCGGCCCAGGGCCACGATCCTTTGCAAAACCTCCTGCCTCTTGACACTTGACTGGAGAGCTGCTGGAACTATATACGCTATTACTATCAAGCAATTAGAGACAAGCAGGGTTAGAACCTTCAAAGAGCCGTATCTCTGTCCTCTAAACCGTTCAAAAATCTATCCCAGATATACTGAATCGTACTTGGAGAGCTACTTTCTTGGAAAAAGAGTAACGAGCGTTCTTTTTTGATTTGAAGGACGAAAGGGGGCAATTTCAGCCGTTGGGCTTGGAGGAGATTGATTTGAAATCTTGAGTGATGCTTTGAATAGCGTAGTTTTGAATTAGATCCAGTAGAGCACAGAGGAAATTTGCTACTTCCAAATCGATGTGTTAAGCATATGGTTGCATTTGAATTTAACCAGAAAAGGGTGGATCCTTTAGAGCCCAGCCCTGAGTAAAAGAGATTTCAATAGCAGTAGCACCAGTCTCATGAACCCAAGAGCTCCAACTCGTACTCATAGTTAAGCAGCGGCAATACTAACAGGGGCAAGAGCCAGAGCTTCTATTTACTCAACGGCTGATTCAATTGCGAGAACAGCTTTTTAAAGAAGAGTCAATAGCTGTTCTTGCTTGACTTGAATCAGTTTTATTTGACGTTAAAGAAGTCCCGGTGCAAGGGAAATTCCTGTAGGACAGACCCCAACATCCTATGTGAAAGAAGCCGAGTCTGTAGACAAAGCATGTCTTTCTAAATGAGAATGGAATAAAACGCCTTCTCATTATCCAATTCTTATGCCAAAAAACCCGACTTTCCTCCGAAGGCTTTGGCTTAGGCTAGAATGGAAGACGCACTTAGAGAGACTGGAGTAGATAAAAGAAAGGTAAGAAGCAAGGCCGGAGGTTCATGTACACCCCCGTACGCCTTTTGAAGCGATGAACTAAACTGTTTTAAAGCAACATGCAGCCATCCTGAGCGTTTGCCCATTCTCACTACCGATCGTGCGAACAAGTATATTGCAATGCACATCCCCTTAGTTAGACCATCAGCAATGATCAGACACACTTTCTTTAAGTAGAATCTGATCATCCGAGGGTCTTCCACAACCCTCTGCCATCGGACTGGATTCACTCGTATCAAGGAATCGAAAAGAAGCGCACGCATGACATAATGTGTGTTCTTATAGGGTAGGCGATAGAGAGGATTCAATCCAGCCTTCCCGGCTGTATATGCTTTAGCAGATAAAGACTCTTTGACGGGCTACTCTCCAAGCATTCTCCCTTTCATCGGTGCTTTCCCTTCTCCCCGAAAGCTCAAGTGGCAAAAATCCGTAACCGTAAGAAGATGAAAAAGGCCCCCGGGATAACCGTTCTCCTGTGGTTAAGCAAGAGACTTCTTCTTCACTGGTCCCTATCCTCCAAGCGGCATAAGCACTCGTAACCTTTTTAATACTCGGCGGAGGACTTCAACATCTTGCTCCGAAGTTCGGGACTTAGCTAAGAAATCCTCCCTTCCACTTCCCCTTATGCACGAGATCATTGAATATTGCTTTTACGGCCACTCAAAAAGGCAGGGGCAACCTATATGCGGGCCATGGTCACCATTATTTCATGATCTTATGCATGATTGTATGGAATCAATAGTCTTCCGATTACATCAAAGTGAAGTCCAGGACCAGAAAAGGTCATACGGCCAATTTCTTTGAAAAAGGTCTTCGAGAGAATGAGATAGTATAATAGTTTTTGAGGCTGAATCCGCAGAAATGCGGATTTGGAGTCTCTTCGGGTAAGCTCCTTGGCTTTCTGAGTCGCTTACTTTAGCTTCCCCTCCCACCGCCCATAGAAAAAAATGCCTTTATTCTTCAGCCTTAAATTGTTGTTATTCCTTCCCCGAGCAAACCTTCTCTGAGCCAACCGCCCGATCCATCTTAGTTCGATTAGGAAGTCCACGCACAACGAGAGCGAAGTCATGCGAACTCAGAAGCAGCAGCAGCATTTGTTCTGTTTCCGGCTGGCCTATCTTTCTCATCGCGGTATACTTGAAATCAATCTTTGCCTATCCGATAGAAAGCGAATCGAAGTAGCTTGCGCGCTTCTTTGCAGTGCTGTTCTCTACTGCATCTTATCCAGGACCGGATACTTCGTCTCTTGTTGCTGCTTCGGCGGATGCACTTTGTCTAGGAACACCTATTTATTAAGTATCAACCGATGGAACGGGGTCTCCCTGTGCTTCAGATAAGGACCGATCTCTCAACTTGATTAGCGATCCGCGCTTGGAAGCAAAGTGGCTATAGCTTGCTGTACTTCGTGCGCAAGAAGTACCGAAAGCCATTAGCAACTTTGTGACGGGGGGATTAACTAAAAAGATTAAATAGCTATCATAAAAAAGCATGAATTGAACGTCTCTAGCTTTAAAAACCCGTGTTTTTCGCCTAAAAAAAATTAGCTATAATAGCGCGATAGAAGCCCTAAACTAGCTAAGCTAAGTAGTATGTACGCAATAGCGCGGGAAGAGCCCCTATCCTATAGTTTGAAACTAGCTCTGAATCAAAGAAGCTAGCATAGCATAGCGAAAAGATGCTCGACATTATTCTATATTATTATACAATATGCTCAACCATTTCTCAAGACTATATAACTAATCAATGCTACACTCACTGGTAACGAACAGCAGGAATCGCATACAAAAATTCACAATAAGTATGCCAATCCACCGGTGAAGATAAAGGCACATCCTGAGAAAGAAACTCTAAAATGCTCGACCAAGGGCCATAGAAGTGCGTTTTTAAAGCGCATTAATTAGGCTGTGAAGTGAAGGTCACAGGGACTATGAGACCCGCGTAGGAATTACTTCTGGAAGCCCTAATAGTAAGCAGAAAATGAAAAGTAGCCCCAAGCTTATTCATAAGCTCAAGATAGCCAAGATGGATGGAGTAAGACTAGTCTAAGACAAGACAGACCGGTCTCTATTCTCCTGCTCGCGTTTACAAGGGTTCCCACTCACTCTATTGAGTTACAGCCCTTGTTGGGTTCTGCAAAGTTACCCTACTTCAAACCAAAACAAACTTTACAACCCCCCCACCTCTGCTTCCTAATCCGGTCAAGATGCTGGCTTGCCCTTTACTAGTAGGGGTTTACCGGAACTCGTGCTTTTACTCGACAAACCTCTTTCATAGCTGCTTTTGCTTTAGGTATTGTTAGTCAAAGGTGCTGCTAACTAGCTATGGGATAGGATCTCGATATAAAACAAGAGAAGAACCTGCTCAATCAACTGCTGCCGGAAGATATGGAACTGCTTGTGCTACTTCAACGTTTCCATCTGGCTCTTCATCTGGAACATCTAGATGGGTAAGAACAAGATGAGAAAGGACAGAATGGGGGAAGTTCGATTCCTCCACGGTCAACCAAGGCCACCAAAAAAAACCTCGAATTAATATAATTAATTATACTCGCTCGGCATTATATGGTATAGGATGGTCTAGTGTCATAATACATCAAGATGCACCTCTACTAAAGAAGACATCCCTGGAAAAAAGATCATGAAGTGACAATGATCGGAGGACAAAAAATGCAAGCTCTATACAAGCGTAAAAAAAAGACACTCGGTTCTCCTTCTGCTCCGCTTTTGGTATTAAGAAGGAGCCGTCGATATATGTAGGACGCCTTAAAGAAAAATGGCACTAGCTAGCTCGCCCCTATCTCTAAAGGGCAGAATGGGCCCTTATTCGGCCTATTAAGCCCCTAACTCAAATAAGGGGGCGAGTCCGGTTGTTCATCAAACCGCACTCACCAGCATCTAGATGCCGTTGGCACCGTCTCCTGCTCCGGCTAACCGCATTATTCAATTTTTCTTGCCCCCTTAAGGTTTTTCAAAACCACCGGTTGTACCGCTGTCTAGACAAAGCGAGGATCCTCCGGAGAAGCCAACTCAATGAAGAGCAGGATCTGAGCGAACCAGAGCGATTACACCCAATGTCTTTATCTAGCCTTAAGCCAAAAGAGTCAGTAGTCATTGTTCCTTAGTGCGACCAGTTGCGAGTATTGGCGTGTTGGGGGGTTGAGCCGCATTAGTTGCGCATCTTATCTTTCGGCTGTGTGAGTAAAGACTGCCCTTAGTCCTCCTACGGCAGCAAACATAGCAGCAACTTACTATTGAGGGGCCTCACTCCCTAATTAGGCCAAAGTGCGTCAGGTTCATTTCGGTGGGCCCGACAGGGGAAACACATTCCTTTCTTGACTTAGTTGAGGGTAGTCGTTGTTGGTTAGGTAGATGTGAGGAAAGAGAGTCTCAGGAGAACTTGACGGCTTGCCCGTGCGTTGAGTGTTCCGTCCATTTCTTGAAGGAATTTCCTATCTGTCCTCAAACTCAAAGGATCTGTTGTTAGCAGTGTCATCAATGTAAGCGAATTGGCTGGTTCCAAGGCCGTATACTAATGAAGATAGGCGCTCCTTTACCGGATACCGGAGGCTACTATGATGCGTTATTTGGGCTTTTTTACCACTCAACACTATCAAGATAGGCAGGCTATCCATGAGATGTTCTTTATGGAAAGACGGTGTGAAAGTATTGGAGTGGAGCTAGTCCCGCGGAACATTTACTGCAGCAAAGGGAGATCAATTCGAATCGCCGGTTAGAATTGAAGTAGGCCTTGTTCCTTAAGTCAAGTCAGATCCTATTGGTAGGGCAGATCTCGGGGATGGACATGTGTAACGTAAGACACGCCCGGGTTCCAAAACTCCAACTATAATAGCCAGTCTCAGGCCCAGTGAAAGAAAAAGTTGCTCACTTACAACAGCCATGAGCTGAGGTGAACGTATCCCCGAAAGCCTTTCCCGAGAGTGAAGGTAGAGATTACATTGAAAGAGTTAAAAGGAAAGCCAGTAGGGAGGAGCAAGTCTCCCAGTTTTTGTGTTGTGCCTGTATCCTGCTTTAGGTCTTACGGCTTTAGGGCTTCAGGCTCGCAAGTCGTTGTCTACCCGATTGACGGTCTTCCAGTTCACGTTCTTTGCTTCCTTCAATATGCTCTTAGAACCGATTGGAAGGTATGATCCTCAAGCGGACCAGCTGGTATTGACTTTAGCCCTACTATCGCAGCTTTTTTCTTACTTGCTCCATAACTTGAGCCAATGCCAAGAGGGAGACTGAAGGAAAGAAGATCCATGCTATCAAAGACTATCCCTTACGTAAATAGATTTGTCCCTATTCTCATTTCTTGCTTGAATTCGACAAAGAGAAGAGGGGCTCGATAGGCGGTCATTGGCAACATCTTCTAACTCGTTAAACGCAAATAGCCTAGATAAGATAACTCTGATCGTCTCCTACTTCTAACTCAAGTTATTAGCCCCTCCTTTCACTAGTCTTAAGGGGAAAGAGAGCATAACACCCTTTTCTCCGGGAAGGCTTTTTCTCAAGCATAAAACGAGAGACCCGATCACATCGTTAGATGAGCTTAAGCCCCTTTGTGAACGAGGGGATCGAAAGGCCAAAGGAAGTACGGCTGAGTTTCAAGACTACGAGCCTAAGAGTGGGGACTAGCCGCATGTCATCTTTCTCTGAGTCTGAGCCTGACACCTATATTATTACATCAAACAACAATTGAGTTGGGATCAAAGAATGAAGGGATTGGATTTGTCCCCAGTCTGTCCACCTTTGGCTTTGTAAATTTGAGGAGGATCGTAGAGAAAAAGAAGCTTTCAAAAGGATCTCGTATAAGATTGGAGCTTGACTTCCTATGCCTGCTCGAATATGACAGGGGTTAGACATTAGCGGGTAGGTATAAGATCTTGCCGAATATCTAACTAGTGAAGGGCAGCCTTTTGTTAACAGGCCAGATAAGCCCTGCCCTGGTGCACTGATACCTACTCATTCTCATTACCAATGCTCATATTCAGGATCTCTTTAGACGAAAGGAGGAGGCAAGTCACTCTCTTAGCTCTTTCAACCACTCCCTCTATCTTTCTTTGACTATAGATCCTAGGTGCTTTCGACTCCTTTGGAAATAAGGTTAGCTCCACTGAGAAAGGGTGCTTCTCTAGTATTGAGTCAAGGATTTCATCATAGGTTCAATAGCCATTTTCAATACTTGGCTTGATCCTCTAGAATAAACCACCCAACCATCTTTCTACCAACAAACTCTCTACCCCGTATGAGACAGAAGGTTCTCTGCCTTTCCCGTGAGAAGAGTCAATCTCTCAATGAGAGAATTCCCCCTTGATTCATGGGTAGAGCAACCATTTTCTCTTTCCACTCCTCATTTTCTTTCACCAAAACCGCCCTCCTCTCACACTTATTGAATGCACTTTCTATGAAATATGAAAGATCTCTGGACTTATTATGCAAATTTTCCTATGCATCAACTACCCTGAAAGAAGCCTTAGTCAATGTACCATAAGGTCATAGTCAAAAGAAGAGTTTGATCCTGGCTCAGAATGTACCATAAGGTGTTTCCTTTCCAATCTGGTTCATGGGCTAGGTTCCCTCAGCTCCTTGCAGTAATTTTTCACCCAGTTCGTCCACTTCATGAGTGTCTTCCTCTGTCTGCAGAGAAGCAAATCGATTAGAAGCTGAAGGACAGCCTATAGTCTCCAACGAATACTGGACTGCAGTATCTGGATCTGGGTCATTCCTTTCAGTGGTTTTTATTGATCTCTTGCCGCTGCTAGAACGACTGGGCTCTTCTAATGTTTGGCTTTCTTCACCCCTAATATCAGTGCAGAGTTTGGTGTTCCACTTGGGCTTGTTTTCATCAGTCTTCTTCAGTAAATCATTTCTGCAAACACCTTCTGCTCGACGCGAAGCACAAAAGCGCTTTAAAGCGCATTAATCAGGCTTTGAAGGTCACACAAGAAGGCTATTCGACCGTAGGAATTAGTGCGTGCTGAAAAATGGACTTTTCTTTCTAAGTGAAGGGCAGGAGAAAGAATCTTGCATCTATCTCGACTTGCTCCCTTGAACGATCTATTCCTGGTTTTGTGACGTCGAGTTTGCTCTATTCTCTTAGCTCGGGCTCCTATCAAGCTTCGCTTCGCGCATGATAGCGGCATTCTGACCTAAAGGGCATTCCCTGCGGGGCCTTACACACTTGCAGTAAAACCGTGTCCTAGGCATATTGAATCTAGTCGCATAAAGGCAGAAAGAGAAAATGCCATGTTTAGATAGATAGGTAAACGTGTAGGGGAGTCTTACCCAGTTGAAACTTGAATGCCAGCAGTCAGGCAGCCTGGATGAACCTTGTAAGGGCCGTTGATGGAAGTAGCCATTAAAGGAAGAAAGAGCAGCTAAGCGCGCTATAAGAGAGAGACGGTTGACGATCTTTCCTATACCTCTTGGCCTTTTTCGAGTTATCTTTCGCTCCAAGAATTATATTATATGAAAAAGTTGACCGCTAAAGAGCGAAATCGATTTTGCTGATCCTGGACAAAATCACAAAGGAAGGTTGTATATCCTTATATTTGTTCCTTCGCTCTGTATATAGGATGGGCAGGTCTTCAGGTTGGTTGTATACTGCTTTGTATTTGAAGCAGTGTTCACTTCACCTAAAGATTGCCTATGGAGGTGAGTTTGATCGCTCACTTTCCTATCCTATATCAGTGTCCCTGACGGGTTCGGGTTACCCTCGAATAGTTCCGGCCTTTTCTCGTCGTATTATCCGACAGAAAGGTACCCGGAGATCTGAATTAGCTGTCCAAATGTATCTATCTTTCTTTTCCTTCTTCACTATTGTGGAAAAGGCTAAGAAGATTAGAGCCTCTTTGTTCAGTTCTATTCAGATGCCTATTCGGGATATCGATAGAGTGGTTCGTTGGCTTGGGCTGGCTAAGCCCTTATTCAAAGAACTATTCTTGAGATACGTTCCGAATATCCATGCTATTCCCCTTGAACAAGGGATGAGATGGATACCATCTTGGAAAATACTCCCTACGTATAGTTCCTTGAACACTTTATATCAGATCTTTCCAGAGAAGGCTAGGTATCGGAGGTTTAAATCTCCTTTTCTAGTCCAAACTCTTGAACTATCTGCGTTCGGCTTCCTTGTCAATTTTATTAATTCACAAGGACAGCAATGGAATCAGGGAATATTGTTTGAACATAGAGTAAGATATGCTCTAGACCCAAACAATAAAGTGTTTTCCGGGCTTGACCTAGAATCATTTGAATCAAAGGTTGGGCCTTACCTACCACCATGGCACCCTGCAATGGGGCCACCGATGTTAGGGAAGTTGGCACAAACTGTTGAAGGAGGGGGCAAGAGGAGACTCTTTGCTATAGGGAATTGGGTAAATCAGAGGTTGTTAACTCCTATCCATAGTTGGCTGGCCTCAGTTTTGAGACAGTTGCCTATGGACGGGACATTTAATCAACCAGCACCTCTGGCCCGATTAAAGGGCCAAAGAGTGTCTTATTGTTACGACTTGACGGCAGCCACAGATAGGTGGCCACTCGTCGTCATGTTCGAATTAATGGAGATCCTCTTTGATCGCTCTTTTGCTTCTGCAGTGGTCAACTCTGCCCTGGCAACCAATCGATTTTATATTGGTTTCTTGCCGGGTTGATAATGAAAAATATTATATAAGTTTCGTTGCAGGGCAACCTCTTGGTTATAGAGCTTCCTGGCCCTTGTTTGCACTCTCCCATCACTTAGTTGTGTGGTGGTGTGCAGAGCAAGTATATCCAGGACAAGTCTTTGACAAATATGCCCTTCTTGGGGATGATATTGTCATCTCTGATGAGCAGGTAGCCCATTGGTATGCCGGAGTTCTTCAGGAGCTCCAGGTTGGGATATCTAAGGGTAAAACCTTAATATCAAAATCTGGTGCTGCTGAGTTTGCGAAAAGATTTGTGGTTAACTGCTTCACTACAGATTTGTCTCCTGTATCGATGAAATCTTTACTAGGAGTTCATAATTTGTTAGCGAAGTATGCCTTGGCACACCGATACCCTTCTATGAGGTTTTCTACCTTTAGAAGGCTTGGTGGCTCTGGCTACAAATCTTGTTCTTACAAAGCACCTCATCTTCATTCTCGCAAAGTGAGATATGAATGGAGTTTGTGGTCGCAGCTCCGGTGGCCATCATTAGAATATTATTTTGGTGGTGGCCGCCTACTCTCTCCCTCTCAGTTCTGGTGGGTCATGAGGAAAGTTGTTTCTGCTTTCAAACCGAAAGATTTGATTGCACCTCCTGACATTTTCGTCAGTGAGGAATAACGTTTCTTTCAAGACTACACGGGAATGAGGGGTTGGTTAGAGAGTTGGTTAGGGTATTTAAAATGGTGGTTGTTTTATTTCAGACTGGTTAATAACTATCTGGATTATAACAATCCCTCTGTCAGAGACCAGATAAACCGGGTATCAATTGATGATGTATGGGCAGCTCCTATAGTTTCCAATTCTTGGAGACTATCTAATAGAGATGTTGTATCTATTAGGTATTCCCTATTACAGAGGATAAAGGAACTGTTAGATCAACTGCCCCCCTTCCTAGAAATAGGTAGTGGTGGATGTCTAGAGATGCATGTAGATTCACCTTATTGGTGTGTCTGCACACATCCCTCTTACATGTTAGTTGGTACAGGAGACAATGCCTTCTTAGTGAGTTCAAAGGGGTTGGTTATCCCTTTGATGATTAGGTGTACTGGTTGTATCTGTCGAAAGAAGGTGCAATCAGTTAAGCCTAGTCTTTTGTCCAGACTATAAGACTAGTGGCGTCGCTAAAGAGCTTCTTTCGCTTTTCCTGTACCTGACTCGGGTTTATAAACGTTCTTTGGCGTAGTCTTTTTCCTCAACCAGGACTGGCAGCTTCCACAACTCTTTCAAAGCTAGGTGTAGGTAGCAAAGCTTGGAGTGGACTGAACCTTTGTTCGTGCTGGAGGGCGCCATTGAGGCCTTAAAGTTTTCCACTGGAAATGTCTCCATGCCAAGCTTCATGCCTTTTTGTTTTGAACGACTTTCTAACAAGCTGTTGAACTTACCGCCCCGGGATTGGGACTTTTTTTCCATAGGAAGTAGTCCAATCTTTTTCACAATAAGATAAGCCAATCCTGGAAGAATAACACAGGAAGGATCAGCACTATCAGCCAGGATAGATATTAGACAGAACAGACTTTCCGAATATAGTAAGATGAAAATGAAAGGCAAGCAGGAATAAGAAGAAGACTAGCAGAGAGGGTGACGAAGGAACTAAGACTAAGGCAGCGGGTGACGTAAGGGTGAGGCAAGGAACTGGATGATAAAACTGATGCTTCTACGCCGGAGAAGAGAGAGAAAGCTATAGGGAATGATTTCGGAATGGTGCTAGACCTTCACTTCAACCCTCGCTTTTTTTGAATAGGGAATAGGAGAATCCGCAGACACAAGCGGATACACATGAACTACCCCACGAAAACATCCTGTATTGAGGTATAAAGTTTCAGGCAAAAAGCATTCAACTTCACTTAAAAAAATTCTTATCTTAAGACGGAATTGGAAGACTTCGACGGCTTACGTAATAGCCTACTTTCAAAACGGATTTCGATCGGTAGGGTAGGAATAGACGGGCTAAGAGATTGAACCACCTAAAGCAATTGACCAGGAGAGAATGGACAGAGAGGAATGCCCCCAAAAGGGCTTGCCTCTTACATAGCAAGAGGAAAAGAAAGAACATAGGTAGGGTAGGGGAAGACACCTGAAAGCAAAGGGACCTTAGATGATAGCTAACTTAGAGACATACTACATAGATTAGGATGGCTGACAAGATGAGACGATTTCCTCGATGACACCAGTCGATGACACTGACTCTCATCGTTCTCAAATAAAAGGCAAGTTAACCTTAAAATAAAAACTCGGAGATGAGGCTACAAGCAACAAAGACAAAAGCATTGAAACTTAGCCGATTAGAAGGCTAGGCCAAGGGAAGGGTCCTATACCTGAAAGCACACTCATTCGCGAAAGCAATAAAGCGAAAGAAGGAATTCAAGTTAGAGGATTTAAATGCGGGCTAGGATCTCGAAGCTCTCTAGACTCCATTTCCGACTTTTGTACCATTAGAACACGAGCAAGAATTGAGCCGGGCGAGGAGTTTTCCGACTGGTAGGACTGCCTCTAAGGCTGCTTTGAAGGATAGCAAAATAAGCCAATGCGCATCCAAAAGCAACCCCTTACCCTCGCTACAAGACTTGGGAGGCTGGAAAGATAGGAAAGCTTCCAAGGTGAATCGAAAGCTTCGAAAGGAGGAAAGCACACACAGCCTTTTAACTCGAGAAAATAGACATTGAGACAGAAGTAATGGAAGACTTGGAATGAAGTCTCCCCATAGATCGATGCTTCTTTACTTCCTTAATGAATGCAATTCCCCCTTCATCACTCTCTATCTCCGGACCTTTTCCTCATGGAACGAGAAGACCGATGCCACTATCGCCTCTTGGCTTTGCTTTAATATAATCTATTCGATTCAAAGAGAAGCGCACCTTGACTCATGCACTCCTAAACTCCTTAAATCAGGAACTGGTTTGAAAGCTTCACTCATGAGCTATCTTACTAAAGGAATTCCAGTTTCCTAAACAGCCGTCGGAAACTGGCGAGAAAATAGAAGTGTGCCTTTTAATTAAACTAATGGCCTCCCTTTGATTGCTTACTTCGCTAGTTATCTCAACGCTTCTTTTCTCTGGCTTGCTCTTCCAAATTCCATTTTGGCCTGCGGTAATGTAATCAGTTATCTCCAAAATGATTTTTTTTGACTTTTTTAAAAGGGGAATGAGGGCCTTCCTTAGAAGTTGTCGCTCGATCGAAAGGATATAACACATACGAAACCTTAGCTTCGCTGACTTTCTGAGGTATATTCGCCACGACATTAGTGGCTTAGCTCTTCGCGCTTCCCGCAGGCTTTTTTTTATAGAGAAGAGAGTAAGGGGGGGTGCGGAAGATTGGTCCGCTCCGCGAGCTTTTCGGTTCGCTCCCCCTATGCGGTCGGCCTTCTTACCAGTCTGCCTCCTTTCTCTTGATGGAATATAACAATGCCCGAGCTCCAGCTTTGCTTGCGTTCTTCACCGGCGCTCTCCGGATGTATCACTCATCCCGCTCCTAAGGTAAGGAGTCTTCTGTGTGTTATAATCTTTACGGGAATGAATCGCATATGTTGGTTGAGAGTTGCTCGGGAATTCTTTGATAGTTACTTTGCGGGGGGCTACTCTTCTTTTTTGTCGATCGAGCCGCTCCCCCTCATTCCACTCGTCCAGCCCTCTTCACGAACTTGTACAATCGATGCCACAAAGATAGTCAACTCTATTATCAAAGAAATAAGGAAACGGGCGACGATTTGGCACCAGATATCCGGAGGTGTGGAAAGAGCAGCTGTGAGAAGCGAAAAAACCATCAAAAAACGACGATTGTTCGTGAAGGTTTCCACAGAAAGACCCCTTGGTTCTGGCAAACGGATCACAATTACAGGTACCTGGGAGCATACCGATGGAATGAACGAAATACGAACAGTTAACATAATATGGTCATAGATCTTAGGTTGTAACTTGATCATGAGCGAATTTGTTGATGTTGCACCCACGAAGTATGGATAGTGCCAAACATTGGGAACTACCCGGGGAGGAGTTAGGAACAGGAACAAGGAGAAGCGAGAACCACTTAAATAGAGGAATCGATTGTATTTCGTCCTTTGTTCCCCATAGCAACTGGGGATCAAAAAGCACCAAATTTGATAACTTATTAAAGGAAAGACGAAGTAAGAGCATGCTATTGAAGACGTTGCAACATATGTCGAGAAGGCCTCCGTTAATTGTGTACGAACAAAATACGAGTCCAAAGGCAGGGTAAGAAAGGGTTTAGCTAATGGAGATATTAACTCTTCCGGGAACCAGTAACGCGTAAACCATGTCAAACCAAGACCGATCAATATCCGAACGGAACGGATTCGAACTTCTCCTAGAATAGTTTCCGGTGCGAAATGAAATTCATAGGATATATATATGAGTAATTCAAAGGAGAAATCAAAATATTTGATAGGATTCGATTCATTTTAGTAATAAAAAAAAAACAAATAGGATTGATTATGTATCAAAATTTCATCACTACATCGAAGGCTTTTTTGTAAATATATTGCTATCTCCAGATCGCCGACGTGAGGTATTCATGATCGAGCTAACGTTCGCAAGCAAAGGTGGGCACGAGATCCCAACCCAAAAACGTGTAGGCAAGATAACCTTTATCAGGGGCTTCTTATTGAAGAACTTGAATCTCAACCTTCCATCTCCTGCTTGGTATCGAAGCAAAAGGAAAGGATATCTGACCGAGAGGTGGAGGTCCCTAGGCTACGTCAAGTCCAAGGTGCCTTCCAATGGTTGGCTATACGGTCAGCCCTCTAGGCGAGTCTTTATGGGCATTACTGAGAAGTAGGGGTCTTTGGCATAGATCGGTGTAAACCAGTAAAAAAGAAAGATGCCACGAAAACAAAGTTCTCCCATCTTTTCCCCTTCCCTAGACTAGTTATCCTCTACCAGTAGGAATTCCATCAGGGGAAAGTGAACGGCCGCCTATCCTTCTCTATTGACTTGGAGGGCCTCACCTAGAACTCAGTCCCGAGATAAGTAGTCACATAAGTCAAAGCCGGGTATGATGCCTAACCAATTAAGAGAAAAAAATTGGCATTTCTGGCCCACTAGTTTTTTGAGGAGTTTGAGTCGATCCGTTGGGGTTTCAGACTAAGAGGACCAGGGTTGGAGTTGAAGACTATAAGAGGCCGAAAACAGGTATTGATGTCGCCCAAGGGGCCAAAACTACTAAGATCTTTGTTTGATGCTTTCCAATAGACTGAAAATCAGAAAAAGAAGAAAGAAGGAGAAGAGGCGGTACTAGCCTTTCTTTATATGAGATTATTTACTCTCAGAGGTAAGCAGCAGGGTTATCCTCTAGCTGACTTTGGCTGCAAAAGAGTTTCGTTTTCCCACCCAGAATAGTCATATAACGAGTAGCCCACACGTAAGATTATGCGAACGAGGGTACTACAGGAAGTAGTCACGGGAGTCAAAGCCGGCCAGGTATGCCTTTCCTTCCGACGGACGTTATCAACTCAATCTTTCTCTCTGGCCCAACAAGTAGAAGGCTTTACACAAAGTTACCTTTCAATTTCAATAAAAAACGGTTCCTTTTAAGCCTCTCCCTATAAGAGGAGGGTTGGGATACCCGATTTTGAATTCCTTTATTCGGCTGTCGAAAATAAGAGGCCGAAGCTTACTCAGATTCTGCCAACGAGCAAACTTCCATCACCAAAGCGGAAGGTTTTTTTTAGGACTTCAAAGTAGAGGCCGCGAAGTCAGATGATGTTCGAGTGGAGGAGTACGGAAAGGCGGAAAGCTAAAAAGCTAGAGAATAGGGAGCGGCACTGGCCTTATCCTTTCACTTTAAGAGTGCCGGCTGAAGATTTGATTATGTATGAAAAAGAAGCTCCGTCACTGCTCTTACTGTAGCTCTGACTGTCTTTCAATTGAAAGTCGGATTGTGCTCCTAGAATGGGTAAACTTGCCGCAGGAATGGTTAAAGACAAGGCCTTGCCTACTCTCTTGGCATCCGGGCGATCTTAGCCGAGGATACGGCAACAGCTGAGATCAAAATAACCAAAACAGCAAGATAAACAACCAAAGAACTAGATAGCACAGAAGCATAGACCGTTGATTAAAGCAAGAAAAGAAAGCCCTTAATAGCTCTCCTAGCTGCTTAGAGCAGCAAACCAGAGGAAGTGCGAACGGAGAGTGGAGTAGGGGAGAGCAAGTGGATTATCCTCCGTTATAAGACGTTATAAAGCTTAGTAGAGTGCTTGGTCTCCTAGCTTGCCTGCCAGTGAGAGTAATGCCTTCCAGTTTGTCTTTCACTCTGTTAGTCAGTCATTCCCTTTCAGTTAGAGTTGAGGCAATCAACGAAGCCTACCCGGTTCTATAGTAAGTCAGCACCCAGGAGATATCGTAAGCAAGGGTTTAGAGTCATTCACTGTTGCTAGAGCTATTAATGGAAGCTAACCCTCTAGTTCCCCGGGATAAAATAGTTCTTGCCCTACCCTGTCTTCAGAAAGTAGTAAGCAAGCCTATGAGTCAGTCCGTCCGGTGCAATAGTCAGAATGAATCCCACGTGCTAGCAAAAGAGCAAAGGAAGCGCGAGACGAAGCAGCTAACCTATAGGAGTAGGAGTCAGCCTATGAGCCGAGGAGTCAGGGAAGAAGTTAGCCTCCCTTTAGACCATGGCCGCTAGGGACGAGAAGTCATTGACGCTTTCTAAGCAGGGAACAAGCAATGAAGACAGGACTCTATACCAGACCCGAGACTCGAGCAAAGCATGCCAATCTCTCGAGTGCAGCTGGATCCCTAATATGAATGAAAGTTCTCATTTGAAATCGGTCACTCAATCTTATCACGAAATCAATCTTCGAACGAAGTGTTCAACTCCCTAGGAATCGGGAGGGACAGGGGGAATCAGAGAGATTTGCAGCCTTCCTCGCAGCCACATCCGAACGCGATCCGGCCATCCATAAAAAGCGAGAGAAGTGATCTCCATTGCGAGTTGTAACCAACATGGGGATAGCGAGCAGAGATGCACGAGAGGAATGAGGAATTCTAGTAAGTTGGTCTCATTCTCGTTTTGTCAATTCTCTTCGTTGGTCATGAGAAATCAAAAGAAAAGGGCGAGATTGCGTCTTTGGAAGAGGTCGAAACATAAAGGTCAAGAAGAATCCTGAGTAGTTTCCTTAAATGAACGTAGCAGCGGTAAGGGAATCTAGCTCCTCACCTCTGACCTCTTATTTTGAACCTCCGCCATGCCAGCAATAACAATGGAATTCGAGAGATGGCAAGTCCATCCATTGACAAAGAGAATCCGGAATCAATAGAAATGGGAGTCGATTCCGTAATGAGGAAGGTCGCATTCAGAGACTTCTTTCAATACCATTATCGTTGTGGGCATCCCTACCAATCCCCATTCATTCATTTACTATGACTAAGAGAATCCAGCAGCAAGAGAGGTCGATACCTATTATACATCTTCCAGACCAGAATGCTATTAAAAAGTGCCGGAATCGTAAGGACCATCTCGACTTGAGTTCTCACTTGGCTTGCCCTGTTCGAAGTCATTCTCTTTTCAGCCTCCTTTCATTTTGTTTCGGATTCGATCCTTGCCTAGCGATCCGGCACCGGGCTCACAAGCACAAGCCTGGGGGACAGAGTGCTATAGGGGGCTATTGCTAAACATCCAGCCAGCTACATTTCTTTTTTTCCGTCTGTGGGTAAAGAACTAAAGGTAAGGAGCGGGTGGCCTTGCCTCTTTCTCACAAGAAAAATTCTTCTCTCGACTGGAACCGATCCCTGGTGTGCGCATACCTAAAGTGGTGTATGCGATGAACCGAACGTATGCTTCTCTAGGGGGATAGGGCTTCAATTCAATCATTCTCTCCGGCTTTTGAGAGAGTCCTTCGATTGACTTACTGAATGGAATGATGGAAAGGTGCGTAGCCGTCTGAGAAGGTATGCCGAGAATCTGCTACATTGGTCCACCCGGGCTTTATTTTAGGGTTGAAAAAACTAGGCAACGAGCCAATAGAATAGAAGTAGTTGAACTTTCCCTGGCTGTTCTATCATGAGTTTCATCCTTTTAGTCTTACTTTGAATTCCTCTCTGTCAACTAGAAGCAGTAAGACTTCGTTACATTAGCGGGGAGAGATTTTCTCGATGCTTTGAATAGCCCTACGTACTAGTTAATCATATTTGGCAACAAGAGAACAGCGAGAATACCATTAGCCTACTACTCACTCTACTGGCGGCGAGGAAAGCAATAGAAAAACCTCTTCTTCCTAAGAGTGATATTGATTCAATTCCAATCTCGTAATGAAAGACATTAAGGCTTGTTCACTATCGAAAGAAAGCTCTTTGATTGGATGATCTCAGTATTCCAGTACTGTGTTAAGAGGATCTCCCTATTGATCTATTAAATAACGATAGGTCTTGTCAGAGCCTTCTTCTTCTCTCCTTCCTTTCTTCTTCTTTTTCGCGCAAAAACAGAGATCGAAAACTCAGGAGAGGATTTAGCCTCCCGGTGGACTACAAGTTGAAAAATTTTTAATGGTGAGAAATCTAAAACCTTTTACTTTCTTTTATGATCAAGTTAGTGTGTTTTTTCTACGCACACTAGTGAAAGGCGCTCACGTAAAACACACGAACTGAACTAGAAAGAAAATACATTACGAGATGCTTTTCCGCATTCAGTTCTTGCGGAAGTAAGTGGAAGTGGATGTGGATTCGAACCACTTTCAAAAGGATTTACAGTCCTTTGCTCTAACCAGCTGAGCTACCCGAACCACTTTTCTTCTCTTATGAAATTTCGGAAAGATCACTCTTCCTTCCAATTCAATAACCCCGTGCTTGATGCAATAGAAGCTTGATGCAAAAACCCTTGCTCGAGATTGGCCAATCAGCCGCTCTTGGTCTTGTTCATGCAACTCTTGTTCACGTAAGCGGTGCTACCGTTGAATGTCCATCTTCGATTCATTTTGAAAAGAATCCCAGATCTGAGAAGGAAGAAAGAACTGTCCTTGTCATAGCCTGATTAAGAATAGAAGTCTCCGTTCCTAGCTTCTACTTTCATCGAGATTCGGTTGGTGTGAAGTAAAGTAAGGCAAAGAACTTCACTGCAAATAGCGTATATAAGAGAAAGAGTGGCTCGATCTGATGGGCCAGTCGCTGCGCTTTTCGGAGCTTAAACATAGACGAAGCTTCGCTGCTCCGCCTGCAGCAGCAGTTCCTTATTCGTTCATTCTTGAATAGGAGAGGCCTTCATCAATCAATCTTCAGTCACATTCCATCCCCAAGCACTTCATAACTTGCTTTGGTAAGATCGGCTCATTAACAAAAAAAATTGACTCATTTCACTGGATCAGCTACGACCGTTGCTAGGTTAGGGACAGCTCCGAAGAATGGAAGGAAGACGGATCAAAAGTACACATACAATTATATTCATCTATAGGGATAAAGTATTTAGCATGACCATACTATGGATCGAACTTTAACTCTTTCCGGCTGAGAAGAGCTTTTTTCAATTCATTTTTTCAGGTGAGCCAGATGCCGAGTCTACCTTTGCCAAGTCCCTCTTTCTAGGAGGATTTTTTCGCAGTAAGTTGCTTCTTAGTTCGACTCTGCCTCAGGTCAGTTGGTGAACTTTACTAAGTAAGTCACATTCCTACTTCAGTCTTCACGCCCCGGCTTCTGCTTTCGTTCGAGTGCTAGCTTCTCCTCATGCAGTGGTTAGGCAGGTAGAGTACGGTCCCGATGATCGAATGTTTTATTCCACTCGTCCCCGTGTCAGCTATTCCCTGAGGGCGAGACTCTTCATCTGATCTTGAGCAAGCAGCCGAACCGAACTCTTTCTCATCTGCTTCTGCTCTTGCTGTTGCCAATTAGAGAAGGTTTCCTTCAACTCTGCTGCATTGCCTTCTCATAAGGGTTCCTCCGCTCCCGGCTGGCCTATTAGGAAGGCCTCTCCTCTTTCTGGCCGGACCTCTTCTCGCCGAATCCCTAAGACATGACAGGGCAGGTGAGAACAACAGAGTTGGATCCCGAATCACTAAATAGTAAGGGTGCCCGGGCTCGGGACTTAGATTCTTCATCTTGGAATCGGGGGAAACAGAAGAGAATGCCGTGCGTGCTGTTCAAACTCGGACTTTTCCCGCGAGTTGGCTTGCTAGATGTCATCTCGGTTTCAGGGGCAGACTCTGATCCCTCTGGCCTTCACGCTATTGGGAAAGCGGGTTCACTCGTTGCCTCAGACCTTTCTAGGGCATGACCCCTACCCTAACAGAACGACTTGCCCTTCCATGCGTTAAGCTGGACAAAGCGCTTTCAGAAAGAGGACTGTACCGATTAGAAAGTTGCATTTTTCTCCTTCACATCGTCGGTCAACTCTGGGGACAGTGGATAGAGCTCGTCCCTATTTGACTGAAGAGGGTAGGGTTCGCTCCTATGACAAGTGCAGCTTGTTGACTGCCACAGACCGGCTTTCCTCAGTCGTTGACTGTGGCGAGGCTACCCCTCTATCAAGAGAAGAAGTTTTCCCGAATCAATGAGAGAGATCAATGTGCGAATTTCCTTTCCATTCTACCTCTTGAGAGAAATGCGCCTGACTCGATCGGTACCACTCCAACCTTTCTTGGGGCTAGCTATTGCCTTTTTTTAATAGTAGGAGTCGATACTCTTTCCAATTTAGATGGGTTTATCCGGATTGGCATCCTTAGCTCATTTTTTTGCTGTTTTCTAGCTGCGATACAGACAGATCGTCCGATATCAGTTCTCTCTCTAACCCGAAAATCATACGACTTGATCTGCCTTCCGCCTCGTCCGCCACTGCAAACGGGTTCACTAATTGCCCCTGGCCTCAGTCTGAGACTTGGCTTTGGGGGGACGCTTTGTCGAGTAGTCTCTTCCAAAGAACTATCCGCCAAATCAAAAAGCGTCTCGTATATAGGAGCTCGTCGATCTTCTTCTGGCTAGTGCCGTGCTGTCAAACATCAATATAATACAATATCGGGAATCTCTTTGACCTTCAATGTGTCTAGGGTAGGGACCTATCTTCTTCGTAGGGGCCCTTCTCTCTCCCCCGGAACTGCTTGTTATACATACCGCCAGCTCCCGGCGCTTCTGCTTTCTGCCATAGAGGTTTTCGGTTAAGAATGATCGAAATCAGACACGATAGAAGGTGGGTGACTAAATGCTCCCATTTCCTTTCTTGCCCGGTCAGCTCCTATCGTGGTTTTCTATTGTAAAAAGGCTTCTGAACCTACTGTCTTGGGTTGGGAAAGCGACTTTACTTTCCCTTCGTCATTGATTTGGTTGGTACGGCCACTTTGCTTGAAGCTGGAAACCAAAGGATTGAAGAAAAACATCGATTTGTCTCTAAGCTCCGGATGCTTCATTCCTGTGAATGGGATGGCACTTTCTCCCTCCGCTCATCTTGCTTTTTTTGAAATGGAGCTGCTCTGGCTTCCTGACCTGATGAATTCAATCAATAAGGGTTCGCTCTTGACCTGCGCCTCAGCTTGAGACATTGGCGCGAAACGAATAAGACCGGGACAGATGCTGCTTTTGACTCTGAGGCTTGATTCGCTTGACCTCAATGTCTCTCTTCTTGTTAGCGATCTTTTTATGCAATATGTTCTTCCCGCACCAGACCCGCTCGCTTTCTTGGGTTTAGGGTAAAGTTCCAGGTACAGGCAGGCAGATGCTACACGCTATCAGTCCAAGGAGCGAAGTCGGGTATTTTTTAGTTCCGGAATCTCCAGTGACAAGATCTGTCTTCTCTTTGGTGAACGAAATCTTCTTTCTTGGGAAAGGGAAGGAAAGCAGCGTCAAGAGACCTATACTTCCAAGCCAAGCGGGAAGCCCTAAAATAAGCCAAGTCCAAGTAAGCTGGTTGAAAGCCGACTGCAGCGGAAGATAAACCAAGAAAGCCAAACTAAGGTGTACCCGGGAGTAGGAAAGTGGACCCGCCCGGCTCAGTCCCGGAGTAGGAGCAGCTCTTGATCTTTCATCCGCATCTGCCCCGCTTTCTGTCCCTGTAACTGATGACTCAAGAAAAGGTCGCAAGTGAGCTGGAGGGGTAGTATAATATAATAGAGGTTCGGCCTACTCTGAAACTCGCTTATTCCTCTCTAACACTTTCTTCTGTCTAATTCCTTTCTAGCCGTTAGTTACCGGTCCGACTACCAAACTCTGTTTGCTCAATGAAAAGTTAAGGTAGTCTACCCGTATCGTCAAAGAAGATATCATGATGCTACCCTTTGCGAATGACGACAGTACGGGGATTTCGGCTTTTCAAAAGGGTGTGACATTGTAGGTTAGATTCCTACTTGTTTAAGGTCTATAGTGATATTATGTTAGAATGACAATGTTGTAGTTACAGTAGTCTGCCTATAGTCTTATTCATTGACGTAGATAACGAGATCACACTCTCGTTGACTACCTGCTTCTATCTAGTGCGACAGAGAATGCAAGCAAACAGAGTAGCCGCTGCCTCTTCTGAGAAAGATTGAAATGAAAGGATTGACAATGTGAAACTATGGAAGGAGATTGCTTCTTCTTTCCAGTGGACATCCTACATTCTACAGAGCGGATCCGCCGGAGCTACTATAAGAAAAAGTCAAAAAAAAGCCTATTTTACATCTTTTTACTGGTCGTAATACCCTGATCCAAAAGAGACCCGAAATTGCAGTTTTTGGCTAATGAAAGCTCCACGCTACGGACCTTTTCTTCATGGAGAGTGGAGACAGCTCTTCCTTCTATTCCCCATTCTCGATAGAGAGATGAGGGAAGGCAGCTCGACCGATGCATCTATTGATGTTACCTATGAATGCCTATTTGCTTGCTTTATTCCTTCATTCATGGAAAGCTTTATATCGTCCTTCTTTAACAAGACTTGTTACAAGTGATGAACCTTCCGCCTATTCGATTTTTCGGAAGAAGTTTTGTGACTAAAGAAGATCCGCCTACGAAAAGACTTCCTTTTCTACTACTACTCAACAGAACTAGACTCACGAACTGAGCTAGCCCCTCCTTAAGAAGGAAAGGTAGGAGCACTTTAACGACGAGATAGAAAAAAGAGAGACGGAAGCAGAGCAGCAAAACGGGCCTAGAACTTGAGAGACAACAAAAGAAAAGGAACAAACGAAGGCATAAAGAACTAGAGCAGGAAGACGAGTTTGAATATTTTTGTATAAACAGGTCTATTGGTTGGCTTTAGTAGATGGAGCTGAAGCAAGCACTCTGCATACTGTATGAAAGAGTCATTCGAGTAGAGACGTCAGCCAGTGGAGGTTCTGGCCTTGGTCCCTGGTCCAGTCGATGGGAAAGAATAAATGTTCAAGTCTTATTTCCGAGTGCGAGCTGCTTTCTGTGGAAGGGTCGATTTCGGGAAGGAAATAGAGGTCACAAGGTAAGGGACCGCTTTCTTCCTTTTATGCTTCCCTACGTGGAAAATGAATCAAACCAGTTCTCCCTCGACCTGCAGGTATTCTAAATGGTTATTGTTTATGCTCGTATAGCATAAAAATGATTCATTGGGAGGGACATGAGAAATCCACTTCGTACCTTTGCTTCGTCATCAAAGCCCCTTCGCTACTCCGAACTCTATCTGTATTGTACTATCTCTATTTTCTTTTAGAGTGCTACTTTTTGGAAAAAAAGCCGGTATTAAAATGAAATAAGTAAGTAGTAAGTAAGTGAAGTGGTGAATTGGCCATTGGAAAGGAGGAGCGGTTCGGGCCTACTCTTTAACTTTTAACTAAAAGCCGAAAGAAAGGAAAGGCCAAATATCGATAACTGAGAAAGATGGGATTCGGTCAACAAACAAAGGAAATGAAAACACTCCCCTCTTTCTGTCGAAAATGATGAAAACCAGATCGAACTCTAAAGTCAAGCCCTTCACTTTATTGTTCAAGCTCTTGAACATGGGTTGAGTTCATACATATTGAATGCTTTCCTATTCAACAAGACATACTACCAATTCCTTTGAAGCTACTACCACTATCAAAGCTGGCTTGCTTGTTTTGATTATCGGTTTTTTTGAAACCAGAGAAAGAAGATCCGGTTGGGCTTGCTAGCGATGGGAGATTTGTCACTGGAAGCCCTGCGCTGCACTCCAGTGTTGAATTTCTTGATCGACGAAACGAGTTATTGCTTTTAAGGGTTCTTGCTCGAGATGAGTTATTTCCATTTCATTTTTACGGAGGAAACGAACAGACTTTAATTGACGGAAATATATATTGATACGTTGAATCGAGTCCCGTTTTCTATTCCTATTGCTTTGGTTGGTCGTACTGTTGCCGATTTAGGGTGCTCCGCCTAATATGACTATCAAAAAACGGCCGGCTGAAAAAATACTTTTTATTACATATCTGGGGTTAGTACGCCTGAAACAAAAAGGTTCGTCGTACAATTTCGGCGATTAAAAAAATAAAAGAGTATATCCCTCTCCCTTAGTGTCTTTCCACTTCCGTTGTTCAGGAACAAACACTTCGCCTAATTTTTTAGAATCTTGGCCCGGTTTTTCCCCACTAACCAATTACGTTACGACCACTGAACAAACTTGGTTGACGAACATGGTTTATGCGCCGCTAATGTAGCGGCTTGTCGAGCATTTGACAAACTCACACCGTCCATTTCAAATGGGATTTGTCCCGTGGACACACGAGCAATCCAACCCGTAGGATTTCCTTTCCCTCTTCCCATTCTTACTTCTGTAGGTTTCCCGGTAATAGGGAGATCCGCGAGAACTCTTACCCATATCTTACCGTTTCTTCGGAATTGTCCGCTCATAGCACGATGGAATTGTCCGATTATAGCCCGACGCGCTGCTTCAATCGCTCGATATGAAAGACGACCAGCTTTACAACTTTTAGTGCCATATCTTCCAAAACCAAGTTTTGTACCGTCCGGTTTGCAACCCCTACTACATCTGCCTTTACGATATTTATTATATTTCGTACGTTTCGGATATAGCACGTCCCCCTTCTTTTTTACTATAAGAAATCCACACTTTGACACCTGAGATTCCGTAACGAGTAGATACTTCCGCAGGAGCATAATCGATTTTCTGGTTAAATACATTACGAGATGTTTTTCCATACTTTCCGCATTCAGTTCTAGCTATTTCTGCGCCTTTTAATCGACCTGAACAGCATATACGGATCCCCTCAACCCCTTTTTTCATTACTAATTGAATATCCTTCACTATTTTACTAAAAATGGAACGAAATGATCTTGTTTTGTTCCTCAGTTGAAAAGAGATGTCTTGAGCAATCGGAGAAGCACTTTGATAAACAGATTGGATCTTGACCGACTCAATTAAGGTATTAGTGTTTGTTCTATTAGACAACAAAGATTGCATTTTTTTTACTTCGTTTAAATAAGAGTTGTACCCGTACGGAATTCTTCTGTTTCTCAGTATGATCTCCATTATCATCTCTGTTCCCTTTATCAATTCTTCTATCCCACCTAGGTTTATTAATTTTTTTATCAATTCAATTACCTTATCCTTACCCATGAGGTAAAAACATTTTTTCTTTAATTGACCTAGGAGTTTTTTCCGGGCTTTCTCAAAAAAAAGGTTATTATACACCCCAACCCCATCCCTTAGAAAGAAAAAGGTAGCACCAAAGAAAGGAAAGAGCGAGATGGTGGTTTTTGTTGTTCCCGCGAAGCGAAGACCATTCGCTTGGCGAATGAAGTGGGTCAACCTCTTTTTGGCTTCGGCCAAACACTTTTTCTCGTTGGTCGAGCTTTCTACAAAAAAAGCGATGCGAGAACGTATTCTTTTATCTAAGCTTCTTCCATGTGCATTCGCTCTCCCCATCGTAGAGGGTTCAGCCACGCCCGGTGCCACGAAATGATTTAGAACTACGACGGGGTCGAAATGAATTTGGTTCTTTCTATTCAATAAGTATTGCATGACCGAATAATTAAAGGAGGGGCGCACTGCAGGGAGGGTCCTTTTAAGTAGATGACTCATGGGGTCGTCGGAGCGGGACTTCTTTTGGAAAAAGAACTTGAATAACTTCGTTTTTCTGAAAGAGTCGTCATTTTCTATCAGGAAAGCTATGTCATTTACAACCCCGGTGTATTTCGGATGCTTGAAGGCCCCGCTGACCCGAAGTGATTTAGAAAGATTCTTCTTTATCGATGGTGATCGGTCATGGTATCCATAGCGTTGCTTCTTTTTCGGCCAAATCCTGATTTCGTTTTGCTTCTCCCAGTCGTCGAGCCTGGTCGACTCGACTCTTTTCCCTGCCCCCCGGCCCTTCTCCTTTCCGGGTCTGGTTTTTTCGCGTCGTTTCAGTCGTCGTGGTCGACGAGGAAGAAAGAAATGAATGAATGTTCTTTTGGTAAAATGTATAATAATACACCTACCGAGACGAAAGCCAAAGGTGAGTCTCGTAGGTGGACGTATCGAACCGAAATAAGATCTCAGATTGACATCTTGATACACTGATTTACCATAATAATAAATAGAGTCAATGGTGACTCCGCTGTGGGAAGAGCCGCTTCTTTCTTGCGGGGGGCTTCCATTCACCAGCAAAGACTAAAAGTGCTCTCCGAACCGTGCTGGATAGTCACCCATCACACGGCTCTCAAACCTAACCTGTGGTGGATCCCGGGAGACAAAGTCAAAGCGCTTGATCCTTTGCCCCATACTTTGAGATGCTCCTCCCCGCCGATCAAGCAGCGACGCTGCTCGTGATAGGCTTAGCTTTAAGCCGCTATCGTTCGGTTCGGATAAGTCAAGTCCCTTCGGTCGGTTCGCTCAGGTGGTCTTCCCTTATCTTCCCTAACGTTCAGAGTTGTTCTGGTTTGAGAAAGGAGCACCGGCCGAGCGCCCTGAATGAATAAGCCCTATATATAATTAGTAAAGCCTAAACGTCCAAAACTAAAGCGCTAACGCGCCAACTATTATATAATTTTAATAATTAGAAAAGCAACCTTTCGCCTTTATTGATATAAAAGAAGCTTACTTACTAATAAAGCGGAAACAAGCACCTTCTTTCTCAAAGTCAAGTTTCGCGCTTGTTACTTTAGAAAGATTTCAGCTAGCGCGCTTTACTAATAACATAGAAAGTAAAGGCTCTTCTCCTTTTCTACGAATCTACAACTCTCTTCTCTTTACTGAGCGAGACTCCATCCATATCCCTTCCCTACTTGTGGGATATTATTACTCAATTTTCTATTCTATCATTTGTTTGACAGCTTAAACTAGGCTCCATTTTAGATAGGTTTTCGGTCTTAATCAAGATAGGTCAGGGGCGCGTCGGAACGTGGCTGCTTAGTCTCATCCGAGAGTCTAATCTCTTTGTACTGCTTTTTTTCAAAGAAAAAAAGAAAGAAGGGGGTCGATTTAGGCTCCTTCCCTTCCACTGCATAGCTACGCTACCTGGTACTACGAGCCCTCTGTCCCACACATCTATCCAGCTCGCGTGGTTCACCGGTTCCACCGAAAACTCTCATTTGTTGAAGCGGAGCATAGTGCGCTTTAGGCGCCGAGCGAGAAACGTCTCTTCTTTCGTTTCGGTTTATTCACTGATCTGAAACTTAGCACTTTTTTTCTTATTGATTCCAGGGGCGGCGGCGTTCTTGAATGAAGTCTATCCGAACCGAATTAGCACTTCTCAGATAAGGCTAGGCCTCTCCAGCTGAGCTAGGCGCCGGGGTCCTGGATGCGCTAGCGATCGGCGCATAGGGGGGTGGTTGCCCGGGTTTCTCGGCCTGGTACCCTGCACCTTGCGTTCATGATATCTACATTCAACTGTGCCCCGGAAACACGGTCGAAGCACTCCCGTCCAGTGTGCTTCTTTCACGACATGCTCTGGTTCCGGATGTTTTCCAGTGGTCTTCTAGCGTTAGAAGAAGTCGTGTCCGTCCCGGACATCTGCAACGTCCTCCCACGCTTTTTCTATTTTAAATAAAGGACAAACTGAAGGAAAAGACTGACCCATTCGGTGACTTTCGCGGTCGCCCTCACTGAACCGACTTGAATCTGAACTACGATTCAGATCAAGTCTTACCGAAATCGGATTTCCTTTTCGTGCCATATGCGCTTAGACTTTACTATTCCCTTTTTTCTTCCCGATTCAATATTAGTTCTCGAAAGTCTTCGTTTCCAATGGTATGCAATTTCTTATTTGAGAATTTTTATAAAGTATCTCGTATCTAGTTGCAGGGGGGCGTGGCCAAGAAGCAGCCAGCTGACTGCCCCCTTCCACTCGGCCTTTCTTCGCTGTGTGAAGAAGGTCTTAGTATGTATGGGCATTCTGGGCGGGTCGCAATAAGTCGCTGGTCGAAGGTTTGGACCAATCGCAATTCATCACCATTTTGCCTGCTTCTAATTGATGACTGGCTATTATATAAGTGTTGACCTAAGCCCCAGCACTGGGGCTCGGCTCCCGAACCGTACGTGAGCTGCCTCGTACGGCTCTTCCTAAGAACTTGAAGCCCCCTCTCTCTAAATAAAAAAATGCATTTACAAGACAAAAAAGACTTTTCAAAAAGCCTTTGCCCTCCTATTCAACGGGGCTATTAGAGAAGCTGCTTCGTTCCTTGACTTCTTTGCTCAGTCAAGCTTCCTTGTTCCTTAGTGTAGTCTCGGTCCATAGTTTAAGGCTCCGTTCCTTATAGCCTAGTCTATATCCACAGCTGACGGTGACTCCGTTCCGTACCGACGCCCTTCCCTTTGTAGACGGCTAAGTGACTTCGTAACCTTAACGTACTTATTTTCGTACTTTCTTTATTACTATATCATAGGCCTTCGTCGGGCTTTCATCCCTTCGCCTATAGGCGAAGGCTTGGCTTCGCTATCGCTCATGACTTGGTATAGAGTCCGTGTAGTCGTCGGCCTTCCCACCAGAAGGCCTATGATATAGTGGTCGGCCTTTCGAATGCCTCCTTCCTTACTTTTCTGAGAAGCTTTTTACGACTATAAAAGACAGGGGGCTGTTCCCCTTTGGAAACTTAGCTACACCGGTCACGACATGTTGTTTGTTGATATTTATTGAGGAGTTTAGCTGACTTAATCCATAAACCTATAAAGTCACCGTCACAGGTACTTTTTTGACTCTAAGGGAAGGGG